AGCTCGGCCGCGCGCAAGAGGGGCGGGGGGAGAAGGGGGGAGGGCGTCTGGGGATCGGAGCTGAAAAAGCGCCATCCAGTGAGCGGCTTGAATAAGGAACACTTACTTTTCAAAAGGGGCTCGGTCGTTCCTTAGGCTTGCATGCGTTATTTACAGTTCCTTATGCGTTATTTGTTATGTATCGTTCCTTATGCGTTATTCCTTGGGATACAAAAAAGAGGCTTCGTTCCTTATTTATCGTTCCTTAGGTCAGGCCGATGACTGTAAGCATGATTACTCCGAGTTTCTGGATGAGCCGACAGCCCCACATCGACCCCCCGTCGCGGCCAACCACCGCGCGCCGCAGGCGCTCCGGCACCCTCTCGGCGCGACGCCGGGGCGAGGTGGACCCCCGTCGGGGGGCCCCCCCCCCGCTTTTCCTCAGAGCCCCGAATCATCAGGGGTAACTCGGGTCAGGGTTAACTCGGGTTCGTTTTTCGGGAATCCGAACCCGAGTCACCCTGGGCCCGAGTTACCCCGGATGATTCGGGCGTCCAGAGCCCCACATCATCAGGGGTAACTCGGGTCAGGGCTAACTCGGGTTCCTTTTTCGGGAATCCGAACCCGAGTTACCCCAGACCCGAGTTACCCTGGATAACTCGGGCGCCCAATATTAGAAAACCCAGAGTAAACTTTTGGCGCTCCACGTGGATCGCCAAAAGTTTATGTTTGTGGCGTTTTCCTCCTTCTGTAGAAGCACCCTGCCTGTTAAGGAGGCGCGGGCCTGATCTGTGGATGCAGGGCCAGCGCCTTGAAAGCAGCAGCCTCCTTCTGAGAAACCCTCCCTCCACCCTACACGTTCCGCGGATTAAGACTGTCATGTCTAGGCATGCGCGCGCAGAAAGGCCGCGGCATACGATTGCTTCGAGAACCCGATGTTTGCGTTAAGCAGAAGCCCTGCAATGTCTCGCGCGGAGATCGATTTCGCGGCCGTGTTTCTTGTTTCTGCTTTTAAAAAAGGCCCTCCCTCCACCCCCTTGTGTGCGCCGCCGAAGTGAAGGGATCCAGGGAGCCGTGGTCGGCCCATTTCAGTCTCAAGACCGCCGGTCTTGGGTCAGGTGGCGCGCGCCACTCGGCACTCCCCGCGGCACTTCTTCTCCGTTCAGCCTTGAAGGCTGCTGGTTTGGGATGATTGATCCCAGCAGCCGCCGGGGAACACTCGTTCCGCAAGAGAAAAGACGAGAGTTCCAGCAAAGCGCAGCATACCTCCGACGGAGTGACATGTTGGTCCTGGCGTTTTTGTTTCCTCGATTTCCGGGCTTCGGAGGCAGTTTTCGGGCCCCGGCCCAGGACCATCAGACATGGATCCAGGGCACACCCAGACCTTCCAGAGAGCTATTTTTTAGCATTGGAGACCTAAAAACCTAAAAAGCTGAGCGAAACAGCCTAAAACCAAGACGTAGAATAGCTTTGGGATAGGTTTTTAGGTCGGGTGCTATTTTTTAGCCCTCCTGAAGGTCAGGGCATGGATCCAGGGCACACAGCTACTCCAGGGAAGCGATCGGGGCCTCTTGCCGCGGGTTCCGGTGCCTTGCTCCGAGGGGAATACCGGCGGATGTCCGGGGCCCATGCAGCTCCGAGGCTGGTGTGTACCAGAGTGAAGGGGCCGAGCGGTCTTACCGTCAAAGAGCATAGCAGGGATGAACAATTGTCCAACGTTGCCCTGGCATCCCTCGCCATTTCGGCCCGTCCTTGATGGCTTTCGCTGGCCAGCGCGTTAGAAAAAGCGTCAACATGGCCTACCAAGGCCCTTGAATCCCTGGGTGCGTGGGTGAAGTGGGATTATGTTGCCCAGATGCTGTTTGCTGTTGTTGGAACTTACACTTCTGACGAAAAACGATGTTAGTCTTTCAATTGGACTGCCCAGTGTGTGTGTGTGTGTGTGTGTGCGTGTGTTTGTGTGTGTGCGTGTGTATGTGCGTGTGCGTGGGCGTGTGTGTGTGCCTGTGCCTGTGCGTGTACGTGTGCGTGTGCGTGTGCGTGTGCGTGTGCGTGTACGTGTGCGTGTGCGTGTGCGTGTGCGCGTGCGTGTGTTCGTGCGCGTGTAACTACGTGTGCGTGCGCGTGTGCGTGCGCGTGTGCGTGTGCGTGTGCGCGTGCGCGCGTGCGCGTGCGCGTGCGCGCGAGTGTGTGTGTGTGTGTGTGTCGTGTGTATGTGTGTTTGTGCGTGCTGTGTGGTGTGTGTAGTTGTTGTAGTTGTTGTAGTTGTTGGTGTTGGTGTTGGTGTTGTTGCTGTTGTTGTCGTTGTTGATGTTGTTATTGTTGTTGTTGGTGGTAATGGTGTTGGTGCTGGTGTTGGTGAACTCTCACTACGGATAAATAACTATTGTTGATCCCCACCTCCAGTGACCATTATGTTTTGTCCACTGAAGTGTTTCCCCCTGGGCTCGCACCCTGTTGTTCTTTTCACCGGGAAAGTCACTATAGGCTCGAACTGCGTTGATGGCCCCCGGATTACAACAACAACGGCTCCCGCCTGAGGATTCCTCGCATTCTTTTCACGAATTGTGCTCTCGCTCGGGGCGCCTCTGCAATTTATTCAGGAGTCGCTCTCGCGGCGCTCTGGAGTCGCGCTCTCGCCGGATACCTGCTTGCAGTTCTAGACGGTTCGCGTATCCCCACCAGCCCATCCCGAAATGATGCCCAGGCGAGTTGAGGTGATCAGGGAAGTGCGGGAGCAAAGAGGGGGACGGCCGAACGGTGCGAAGCAGGAGGAGAAGGAGGAGGCTGGATGGATGGATGAGGGAGTGGTGAGAAGGAGGATGAATAGGAGGAGGAGGAGGAGGAGGAGGAGGAGGAGGAGGAATTGAAGGAGTAGGAGGAGGAAGGAGGAAGGAGGAGGAGGGCAAGCAAAAGGGCCAGAGGCCTCTTGGATGCCTCTCAGAGCCTCTTGGGGTATCTCTTGGGCGCTTCTTGGTGGCCTCTTGGGACGTCTTGGGGATCTCTTGGCGGTCCTGGGGGCCTCTTGGGCGTCTTGGGTGCCTCGGGGGGGGCCTATTGGGGCAGCTTGGGGTCCTCTTGGGGGCCTCCTGGGGGCCTCCTGGGGGCCTCTTGGGGGCATTTGGGGGCCATTTTGGGACCTCTTGGAGTCTCCTGGGCGTCCCTTGGGGCCATATTGGGGGAGATCGATCAAAGAAGAGGGGAGCTTCTTTTAGCCCTGCCCCCCCCCAAGAGGCCAAAATGGGGCCAAAACCAAATTGAAACAAATGATGCTGGCTTCCTCGCCGAGGCCGTTTTGGACGTCCTGACCGCTCGCGACCAGCCCCGTCCAGGTCCAGGGGAGGGGGAGGGGGAGGGGTCACCCCCCACCCACCCACCCCCCCGAAGGGGAAGAAGGGGGTTGGAAGAGGAGCCGCCCTAGACTACCTACGCCCAGAGGGCTGGCGGGATTTACTTTAGAATCGCGCTCTTGCGTTGGAATTTTCCCGCAATTTACTCAAGCGCCGCGCTCCCGACACTCAGGCACCCAGGAGTCGCGCTCACGCTTAGCACTCCCTCACAGCTTACTTAGGAACCGGGATCTCGCTGCCCTTCGTGGCCCCCTCGCTGCCCTTCGTGGCCCCCTCGCTGCCCTCCGTGGCCCCGTCGCAGCCCTTCGTGGCCCCCCCGCTGCCCGTCGTGGCCCCGTTACAGTCCTTCGTGGCCCCCTCGCTGCCCTTCGCGGACGCGTTGCAGCCCTTCGTGGCCCCTTCGCTGCCCTTCGTGGCCCCGTTGCAGCCCTTCGTGGCCCCGTTGCAGCCCTTCGTGGCCCCCTCGCTGCCCTTCGTGGACACGTTGCAGCCCTTCGTGGCCCCCTCGCTGCCCTTCGTGGCCTCATATATGTATGCCTTTCGTGGCCCCCGCTCGTTCGCGCCCGTCGTGGCCCCATATGCATGCGCTTCGTGGCCCCGATATCGCCCTTCGTGGCCCCCTCGATGCCCTTCGTGGCCCCCTCGCTGCCCTTCGTGACCCCGTTGCTGCCCTCAGTGGCCCGTCCTTACCCTCTGTTGCCTAATATTCGTATGCCCTTCATGGCTCCCGCTCGTTCGCGCCCGTCGTGGCTCCATCTGCATGCGTTTCGTGGCCCCGCTGTCGCCCTTTGTGGCCCCCTCGCTGTCCTACGTGCCCCGTTGCTACCCTCAGTAGCCCCGTCGTTGCCCTCTGTGGCCCCGCATTATCTGTGCCCTTCGTGGCCCCCGCTCGTTCGCGCCCTTCGTGACCCCATACGCATGCCCTTCGTGGCCCCGCTGTCGCCTTTTTCAGCCCCCTCGCTGCCCTTCGTGGCTTCGCTCTCGCTGTTGCTCATCGTCGTCGCCGCCGCCGTCGTCGTCGTCGTCGTCGTCGTCGTGGTCGGTCCCCTGTCCGTAGCCGTGTCGGGGCCCAGATCTTTCTGCGCCCTTGCTAACGTTCACTTCGACACGGCGCGGCGTTAGCGAGCCAATTTGGTAGCTCCCGCGTCAAGCTCTCAGTATCCCCCGCCCCCGCATGGCGCCGCAGCGCAATGGCGGTGCAGGCAGCCGACAGCCTGTGGCCACCTGGCGCTGCCAGTCCTGCGGGTGCAACCGCAACGTGCTCTCCTACTGGTGGTGCAAGCACTGCGGCAAGAAATGGCAGCCGCCCTCGGTCGGCACCTATCGTGGGCCCCAAGGCGCTTGGCAAGATGGGAATGGTCTTCGTCTCTTCGATGCTGATCGTCCTCATCCCCCTTTGCGTCCTGGACTTGTCACCGCTGGAGTTCCTCCACCATCGGGTGCGGCAGCCGAAGGTGGCGGACAGGGCGGTGCAAAGCTTGGCCTCTCCTCGACGGACCTCGCCCTCCTCGTGGACCTCACGGGCCGCGCGGGTGACCAGGCTTCGTCCGACAAGTACAAGGAGCAGCTCAACAACCTCACCGCCCGCCCTGCTCCAAACGTGCCGCTGGAGCAGCGGGTGGCCCAGTGTCAGCGTGAGCGATTCCGACTGGCCAAGAAACTTCAACATGA